GAAGAAGAAGAAGAAGAAGAAGAAGAAGAAGAAGAAGAAGAAGAAGAAGAAGATGAAGATGAAGATGAAGATGAAGAAGAAGAAGAAGAAGAAGAAGATGAAGAAGAAGAAGAAGAAGAAGAAGATGAAGATGAAGATGAAGATGAAGAAGAAGAAGAAGAAGAAGAAGATGAAGAAGAAGAAGAAGAAGAAGAAGATGAAGATGAAGATGAAGATGAAGATGAAGATGAAGATGATGAAGAAGAAGAAGAAGAAGAAGAAGAAGAAGATTAAAAAGAGGATGATGATGATGAGGAGGAGGAGGAGGAGGAAGAGGAGGAGGAGGAGGAGGAGGAAGAGGAGGAGGAGGGAAAGGAGGAAGAGGAAGAGGGAAAAGAAGGAAGAAGAAGAGGAGGAGGAGGAGGTGGGGAGGAAAATGTGGAGGAGGAGGAGGACTAAGAGCATCAGCAACAATATTGGCGACAAAAACAACTGCAACAACAACAACTACAACAACAACTACAATAACAACAACGTATCAAAGATGATTGTTACTACACAGCTCAAGCGAAGTGTTCTAAAAGCTACACATTAACTAAACGGTTCTAAATGCTACATGGCATTGCCTACGCTGTTAAGGACGATATGCCTCACATTATGTAACTGCAGTCAAGTGAGAAAATGCAATGCTCTCAAAATGCACAGTCACACACCAAAAAAAAAAGCCCGAGATCGCGAACACCTGGTGCAGCAAGCAGCTGTCTTTAACTCAATAATTTTCAACATTGTAACATCTCTTATCTTCGGCATTTACTCATTGTATGACCTATTTGTGTTGCAAGTGCTGTATAACTCCCACGAAAAGATAAAAAATACTTTAAACTACACAAAGCCTAGACAACTTATAATAAGAGGTTTTGAGAAATATACCGTTGCTTATCTGATTCTTAAAATGCACGGTGACACAAGCTATTTAATGCGTCTCCAATACCTCTAATTATATAATTCTCCGGTGCTGATCTTGGGTCATCGTCACACATTGACGGACGAGCTATTAATACCCTACATTATTTCCTAGAGAAATGAGCTAAAATTCACCGTAGAACTACCGACACCGTCTTCAAAAGAGAGTCGGTTTTATTGGCTTGGCGTTCCGTCCTACAACTTTTTTTTTGGTAAGTGTTTTACGGCGCTCGCAACTGTATAAGGTCATATGAGATCAGGGGACACTTTAAACTTTTTCAATTGGTAGGAAATTTTGAATTTTGCCCGGGTGGCGGCCGAAGCCTACTCTTTTCGATTTTGGACACCAATGGATCTTTAACTTGCGCAACTTGCAAACGGGACCTCCGAGATTTTTCGCCCTTGTCCGAGAGGGCTAGGTGTAGATCTTTTTTATCATAAGATGAGGGGTGTGGCTGAAAGACAGCAGTAAGATGGAGCCGAGTAGTAGCAGTAGAAAGGTTGCAGAAAGAGCCAGGGGCCCAGAGGAGGGGGCAAAGGCGGTGACGGGGTGGGAGCGGAAAGTGGAGACGAAAGCAGACAACAGAACATTGCTAGAGAGCAGGAAAAGAGGTGAAAAGTGACAATTTTAGAGAAGAAAATTTTTCCTTCGTTACCCGGATTCGAACCCGAAACTTTTGAATGAGAGGCGAACACCTTAATCTCTAGGCCACGAGAGCCCCCGTTCTGCAATATTAATGTGGAGGGTGCGCTAACTGCCGTTACGCTGGCACTCGCCTTGGGTCATCATCATCATCCGGTGCCTTGCCTACTGGCGTGGGCGATCATTGACCTGCACTTCACTCTGTCTTGCGTTGCAGCAATGGTGTCTGTTGGTCTTGCTGCTCCTAGCCATTTTGTCATCTTGTCCAGTATCTTTTCCCTCTGTCTGCCCCTTCCTCTCTTTCTATCAAAGTTGCCTATTGTTACAATACTCT